TGTTGACTAGAGCTCATTTGAAACCATGCCAAAAAAAGGGCTACAAGTACCACAAACCAAACCGAAACCAACCCCAAGCCAACCCTACACTGACCCAACACCTACCCTTAGACAACCCTAAACCATCCCGGAAAGCAAACTCGGAGTGCCAACCTCCCAATCTTTAGGAAACCCGTGGGGTGGTTCAGCTTGGAGTTGTTCCTCTCGCGCGGCCAAGCATCTCCGCTCTCGTTCTTGCACACCGCCAGCAAGCACTGCGAGCAATGCCAATCCTCGTGGAGCTCAAGGTTCATCATGTAGCCTAGGACCATGTCCACCGACGCAGCAAGCCATCCCCCCAATACCCGCCTTCTCTCAGGATAGATTTGGAAACACCGGGTTTTGCACATGGCAAGTGCCACGTATTTTAGAGTTGACATCATTGGAGGGTAGGGCTGAATTGATATAGAATGGTGCGGAGCAGCAAGCCAAAAGTCATAGGACAACCGCGGGTTGTGGTTGGTTCGAACCAACTATGATAGTTGCAAAAATCCACGCCAGGCACCCCGCGGAGTGAAGACTGGCAACAATGCAGCCCTAGACAGGCTTGGTTTGGAGTAAAGGCGCGGGTGTGGATTGCGGATTTGGTCCATTCACAGTACGTTCAGGGATGAAGCCATATCCACGGTTGGTGAAAGTGGATGGCACAAAACAGTCGAATCGGACCCGGGCACATGGAAATGGGGCCACTTTAAGCACCTTGGTACCTGAAAAGGGCCGTGTTTGAGGTCCAAACCCTTGCAACAGAACTTCTGACCCTGACGTGGAGGGGTTCTGGCTATGGCCATGGCCACGGGTGTGCAATTCCAAGTGTCCTCCATACTTAATTCGTTGATCCCTGAGAGCTACACTTGTGGGAGTTCTCATAAACACCTATAAACGGCCTAAGGATATATCCTCCTACAAAAAGCGTAAGATAAGCTTTTAGCCAACACTTTAGTGGGTGGTCAAAAAAAAACTGACTTACCAAGTGCTTTGAACACACATGGCCCAAGTATCCTTTGCGTGTGTGTGTGTGTGTTGTTTGGGGATTCCGCCCCCTGATTGAGGAAAACCCATCCGTCAAAGCTTAGGATCATGATAGTTCCCCAGAACTCGAATCTAGGTTGTCGATGCTTGAAAGTTGCTTTCCTTTGCCAGAGAAAGCTTTGCGGTTGACTAGATTGCTGAAAACTTGTCATGACTCTTCGGTCCAGATCGGCTTCTCTGCTTGGCGCGACCAGATTGACAGATCCGCTGAACTGTATTCAAACCAGCCCATTTCAGCACAAGCACCGAACATAAAGCCAGCTGCTGCCTGGTTTGGACCAGTTCCATGATGCAACAGCGAATCAACCCAGAAGTAATCAATACCTGGTAGAGTGGCCTACCCCATGTATCCTCGCCATTGGCTGGGACTGTCCCAGCCAGCCTTCACTTCCGTGAAAGTAGATGGCGCAATTCCCTGCAAACAAAAGTCGCCAAAATGAGCTTGAATAGTACCATCTTTTCTCACGCCGCGCTAACCTTCACGTAAGCTCGAAAGTTTGATTGTTCCAGGATATGAAAGCTTCCAGGATTGTCCACTTTGTCACTGGAATCCTTACAGGCGGGGTTGGCCCAAAAATACAGCCGATTCCTTTGTGGACTGATCTCTGACGAATTCTGAAGGGCAACAAGGGCCCTTGTTTTGACCTCCCTGGCAACTTTTTTACTTTTTTTATACTTTCAACAATCCGCGTGCGTTTCTCTTTCCAGAAAACCCTTTGGTGGACATGGGAATTCAGAATTCAGGTCAAAGCCCTTCCAATGATACATCTTCCCAATTCCTGGAATCCCAGACCCAGGACACCATACCTGATCTCCCGAAAGCATAAGGGTTGAAAGGGAGGTCTTAACAGAAAGTCTCTGGGGGTGATCTCCCAAGTCCGAAGTTCAGCTCAGGAACTTGCCCAGAGCATCCAGGACACTTCAAATGGGTCGACCGGTCGAGCGGTATCAAAGGGACACCAGGAAATACCAACTCCAATAGCTGCTTTTCTGGAGGCCCGGGTAGAAGTCGTGAGCCTTTGGGTGGCATAGGGACTTTTCTGATCAAAATGGAGACTTTCAATCATTCATGGCCAAATGGTGCCCAGAGTAAGGTCGAACTCTTGCACATGAGGATGAAGCAGCAACGGCAAATTCATGTCCAAAAATCTGAAATGCAAACCGAATTGGATCCCCAAGCAAAGGGTCCTCCGCATCGTGAGCTCGAGTCCCCGAATCCCCAACTCGGTGAGCTTGACACCTGTAAAACGCTGCATCCGCCAGGAAGCGGTTTGCGTGGCCAAGGGAGACCGGGTTGTCCAGCATGCCGTAGTCCTGGCAAGGTGCCAACAAACAAATATCTGACTGAAGTAGGAATCCAATATCTTGTTTCTCTTTGAAGCCCCTTTCCAAGACACCCCAAAAAGGGTACTGCATTTGCCCTGTTACCCACCCAACTAACTTCGCGCAAAGCTCTGAACATGGAAGTCCAACTGCTTCCTTGCCTCCATTTTGGTATTGGCCAAAACTTGAACGAAAAGCCAGAAATCAAGAGGGCTTCCGTGCCAGTGTATGGTTGGGACTATCGCGTAACCATCATCTACCCGCGATTTGATGGCTCGAATGGGCTTGTCTCTTTTAGTGGACCCCCAACCTGGTTTCGGTTTTCCTTTTGGCTTCCCTCACTTGCTGAGTGGATTGCCCAAACTTTATAGTTACCACTAAAATGGTCTTCCCAAACAGTTTAAAGTTCATGAACTCAGGAAGAGAGTTCCCCATAAAACCCACCAACACAGGGGGCCAGGAGGTAACTCCAAAAAGAACAGGCCACCCACACCCGCCGTCCTTCAGGATGGGGCGCATGCGCTCGTCGTCCAGCGACGCCTCCGCCATCCGCTCCGTGCGACTCTTGGGCTTCGCCACTGGCGAGTCGAGCGGCGGATGACTCGGTGCGTCTGGTTCTGCTCCCCCTTGGAGATTGGTGGATGTTTAAGGGGAATGGGGTATTTAAGCGGAATGGAAGGGAAAACCTTTGCCAATTTAGGGGTGGGTGAAGGAACAACATTTGCCATTTTTCGGGACCCTCCACTCCCCTGTAAACTCATGGATCCCAAAAAGGGGGTTGTGCTAAAGAGGAGATTCCTCTAGTGGATGCTTCGCGGCGTCATGTGTTGGGGGCATGATGTCAACCAAAAGACGAACACAAAGAGTATTTACCACTGGAAGCTTGTATGTAGGTATGTGTGTATGTATGTATGCCTGGATGCATGGATGCATGGATGCACTTATGCATGTAGGTTGATGCACGGAGGAAGGGATGGACGGATGGATCCTACGGACGTATAGACGTATAAGCTCAGGTGATATCCGGGGAAAAAAACAAAAAAACAGCTTTTTGGGAGGCAGGATGCAGCGGCCGCCCTTCACTCTCCCGCCTGGCGGGGTCGGAGCCGGCGGGAGTCCAAGGGCCGAGGGCCTTCGACCCATGAGCATCAGCCTGCGGCGAGACATCTCGCGCGCGGAATGGGGGCAGGTCCATTCGCCGGTCAACCCAACAACCCACCAAAATTCTCCAGACTCATGAAAAAACCGTGGCGCATGATGTGCCCCCAAGCCCAAAAAACCCGCAGAAATGGTCTATATAGATTCATACAAAATTTCAGCGCGCATTGATTCCATGTCCATTTAGTGCCCTCAACCCAAAACAGAAAGACTCTTGGGAGGGTGGGGTTTCTACAAGGGCTGTTGTTTAGAGTTTCTCCTCCAAAAACCAATTCTAGATTCATGAAACATCCTCGCGATGTTCAATCCGTGGTTATAACCATGGTTTGTGGGAAAACTGAAGGTAGCTCCCTCGTAGCATACCCCACTCGGAGTACTCAGTTTTCTGAAGGGGATGATGCCAGGTATTTAGTGCGGAACGCCGGGTTCTTCCAAACATACAACACGAATCCTAAAAAAGTGGGTTCTTGGAGGGGGTAGCTGGCTTGTTCAGGGAATTTATGTTGGCTCACAGGCTGAGTTGAGACACTAAAATGGTAACCACCTTGTATTCAAATACGGTACTTGGATGTTCAACCAACTGGGTACACAGTTTATGTCGTTCACCAGGAGTTTTGGGGTTGTTTCCCTTCTAACCATGGTTAGAATATACTTTCTCTATAATCTCTAAAAGTGGATTCAACATCCAAGAAAGCCCTTGCTCCACATACCAAGATGTGGTTTCCGAAACCTGCGTTTCCAGCCCAAATTCCTCCTTTTGGGTCTGGGTCGACATACTCCAAACGACAGGTATTCGAGGTGTTTGGATGGTCAACCCAAGTAGTACACAGACCCGAGCCATGGTTATAAGGGAACTCACCCCAGTTTCCCCCAGTCAAAACCATCAATACTTTCGTTATAACCTACTTGCGTTGGATGCACATCCAAGCCGGGGGAACATCTCCCGCCAAACGAAATCTCCCACCTTCCAGCCGAATTGAAGTCTCCAGGATCCACCGTGCCAGGGACAACGCACTCCTAGCGGAAGTCCCACTGTTCCATTTTCTCAACCCACTTGGTCTGATGTCAACCTACCATCAAGTTTCATAAGCAGACAGGAATCTTCATTGGGGCTTTTAGGTAGCTCCATTGGAAGGCTCCTGTTGTTTGTCGGGGTGAGGGCAGACTGTGTGTCACATGAGTCTCATGAGTCATGAGTCCAGATGAGCGATTGTTGAGTGTCCCCCATGGGAGGCCGGTGAGCCCGCGTGCACCCGGTCCCCACTTTTGTCGGAGTCTGTGAAATGATGTCCCTCACGAAAAAGGTCTTTACCATGGAAATGGTTCTTCAGAACTTCAAGACATGTGTTTGGAGATTCCGGGGGTAGTGTCCCAACAAACCTCAGCCCCGAGCTTGCACTTGCAGATTCTGATTTTTTGTTTGGGGAGGGGCTAAGCTGCATGTCCTTTTTCCTCGAAGTCGCATCGCGCAAATACATTCAGATTGGTAAGGCTGCCTGCCTTACACCCAAAGCATCAGACAGGACCCTCCATTGAAGGGGTTTTAGGGAAGTTTGGAAGGTTGTGGACCTCAACTAAGGCGTTTTGGACCCGAGATGCTCGAGGCATGCGAATAATTAATACATTCGGATTGGCAAGGCTGCCTGCCTTACATCATGGCATTTGCAAGTACACATCCTTGGACGCGGCACGGGACCTCACAAATAAGTACAGGGTGGAGCCTGTGGTAATCAACAGGCACCCGATTAAGGAGCCGAGCATGGCAGGATGGATTTGGACGTATTTCGGGCCGGTGTTCTCGTGGTCGACCTCGGCAAAGTCGATCGCCTCAACTGCCACAGGAGGCGGAGCCGCACTCAGCAAGCGCCCGCGCTTGTAGCATTCTTCGTTCTCCTCCTCATCCAGGTACCGCATGTCACAAATATAGTCGAAGTAATCGTGCACCCCCACCGTCTGAGAAAACATTTGCGCCAAGTAGTCCTTTAGCCTGGCCAGAAAACTCACGAGGCGAACCAGCTCGAAGACTTGAAAACCCCCGCCCCAAGGGTCCCGAGTGTTTTTGGGCCAGTCGCCATTGGAGGTCTGCATTGAAGGGTTCGTGACCCTTATATAGTCTTAGGGTAGACACTTGCTCCAAATCAGCGCAGAAAGCCCTTCAGCTTTTGGTGCCGGACCGAAATATCATGCTTTTACTCCAACACCCCAGAAACTATTTTTCAGACAGCACGCGGTTTTGGACACGGGGCAAATCAGTTTTGGGCACTGATTGTGGTCTATTGCGAAAATAAACATGTAAACTTCCCCAAGGGCTCTCAAAGTTGATGTTTCTCAGAGCGGGATTAGGGTTTAGGGTCTCGATTTGCATATTGGTTGATAAGCCAATCGCATGTACGGTGCAGAGGTATTTTTGTCCATCCACAAGTTTTGCCGGTAGCCCGGGTTCCATTCATCATATTTAGATACGCCAAACATATACATGTCGTATCGAATGTTGTTTCACATTTACACCTTGGAGGAACCCCCAGAACATGTAACTTGATTAACCTTCAACCCGGAACCCAGGATTTAGATTCGGCCCCCCCCCCAACCAGTGGTTACGTTTTGGAGTCCCGGGCAGTTCTCAGCCGGTTAAAACAAAAAACATCCGAGGAGCAGTTTGGGGCTGCTCTGCATCTTCACCCACAGCATTTCCAGCTCTGGCGGGCTCAGACCCACACCATACTGCTCGCGGAAGGAATACTGCCTGGGACCAGAGACATGGCTATGGCTACGCTGGAATTCTCTGGAAGATCCACCCAATGTTGCCAACAAAGAACCTGATGAAAGGTCTCTTGACCATTTCCGCTTAGGGAATTTCCGGGTTAGCAAAGGGTAGTTTTGAATCGAAACCAAAGGGTGCCACCCCCTTGGAGGCTTTCGAACCCGCCCCACACCCCTTGGCTTTTGGGGTCTCAAAAGCCCCGGATGGCCCCTTTGCCGCCTCCCCTTTGAAGGTCTCCAAAGAGTTCCCCAAAATGGCACCCGGCAAGAATACCGATGGAATGTGTGTAGCACACCACAATACACCACAAACATCGATTCCCAAGAGAAGGCCATGTTCACAGCAAGCCGTCTTTCTTTTTTTGGCAGCCCCCCCTTCAACCAAACCAGAAGCGACAAAAAACACACACACACACACACCACCGGAAAAAAGAAGCAGAAGAAAAGCAAACCCTGCCAAGTGAAAAAAGCGAAGCCGCTTCCTCCAAAACTTGGATGACAGAAGCTCGTCCTTGCCCTCCCTGTGCAATTTCACCCACTCGGGCTTCGTGGACCAAACGATGTCCGTGGCCACCTTCGCAGCTGAAAACGGGTAAATTATTGGAACTCGAAAGGATTTCCACGGGGCTTTGGCTATATCGGTCCTCAACAAACCGGTTGTCCAAAAACACGTGTGTGTGTATATATATATATATGTATGTATGTGTATGTATGTTGTGTATATATATATATATTCTCAAATATCTGAAATGTCAAATATCTGACATATCTGAAATGATTGAAACGAAGGAAAGCTTCCAAGTAGTAAATGTAGATCATAGAAGGGCCTGGTGCCATATACAAATATATATATATATACATATATATATATGTACGTTGTATATATATATATGTGTGTTGTATATACAGGTGCCCTCATACCCTTTTTCACCCAGATTAGGCATGGTGTTCTGAGGTTGCCCTACATCCATCAGCTCTGATCGGGCTCCGAACGGGGGCTCTGAGCCAATAACCTGTTTTCAGGGACCATCAAACAGGTACAAGGGAGTTCAGGTCGAACAACTAGTCTAAAGTTGCCTCTCACATAATGCAATTCCGGCACATTGTCCCACCCCGAAAACCAGAAACAGTTTCCTCCGGTCGATCCAAATCAAAAGGAATCCAAGAACCCAAGTCGGGTTTTTCAAAAACCGGGATGTTCAGGGTTCTCGCTTTTGTTTACTCCTTATCTGGTTTCCCCTTGTCTAGCCTGTTCGACATCCCGGGGGCCTCATCACAATCCGTAATCTGCTTAATCCTTGTTCTGGATGGCAATCCTCTCAATCTGTAATCCGCGCTACAAATTGGGGGTGCAAACCTCATGCAGGAGCCAACCCTTGATCTGCAATCAGCCAGCCGCATACTAAAACCCGCAAGCCACATAATCCGCAGTCCACTAGTCATTGGGGATTAGGGTTTGAACAAGCCAGCTTTTTGCGCAACCCCCGTTGCTGTTCAAAAAGCGGTCATTGTGAGGGAAGTGCTGGCAGATCCCCTTTTGACGGGTTTCGAAAATCATAGCCGCCTAAGGGTGATGACCCCTCAACGCAGACCACCGGGCCCTCCAAAGGAGAAATGTGAGGGGGTTCTGAAGGGTCCTTGAAAACAACCAGTTTTATGGGCCCTCAAAACAATTGAGACCCGGAAAGGGCCTTACTCTAGTTCTTCCTGAAATCATCTCGGCGCTACTCCTTTAGATGCCAAGGGAACCACCCTTAGACTCCAAGGGAATACTGGGTTGCCTCCTATAGTGGCTTGCTTGGGGTCCACCGACAGTCCCAAATAGATTACCTTTGGTGTCTGTGATTGAGCCCAACCCTTGCCTCAAGTTGCTTAAAGCACTAAGTGTCATGATCACGGAAATGCAAACCCCACTTCTGAGCGCTCCAATGGAGAACCCCGACCCCTCAAGCTTTCAAGGGCCCAGGAGTTTCACCTGTTCGGGCCCAAAAACTATCGAGACCCAGAACACCCGAAATGGTCACCATGTCCAGCCCGCAAAAGACTGATATCAGCTTTCCCTTCGATTCCGCCCGGAAACCAGCGGCAAGTAGTACTGAGTGAAGTCATGTACGCGATGATCTTCGGTCACTTCGAAGAGCCGCCAGGAAGGATTGCAATGCTTACCTCGAAATCGGAGAGGAAACACGCGAACATTTGCATAGAAATGGACATCCGCAAACACCCAGCAACCTGATATAGTTGGATACCGGTCCGACACCAAATACCTGTGTTTTTTTCCCCAAGCGGTTGGCCCCTCACTAAGAAAGAAGACGATGGAAACCTTGGTTCTTCAAAGTGTCAAAAAAACAGGGTTTTAGAGCAGGTATGTTCAAACACCAACTTGTCTAGTAGCACCCCACAACTACTGCTTGAATAAAGCACGCCCCAAACAATGTGCTGTCAAGCGAGCAGTTGCTGCTGAGTGGTATATACCTCCATTTTGTGGTTGACATCGTAGCCCCATAAATGCAGAGACTCGGCGGGATGCTGCTTCAGCTCAGGGCTAAACCTGAGACCTCTGTCATCTAGCCATCCTTTTGCCACAAGTCCTTTGCCCAATCCTTTCTGCCCAGTTTTCCTATGACAACGTCAGCTTCGGATTCATCCAAACGATCATACATGCAGCCATCAGAACCAGGGTTGAGGTACCCGCCTGTCATGATGAACAATCGAGTCAACTCTGGGTGGGGTACAGAAAATATGTTCCATTCTACAATAAATATGATACAATCTTGAAGGAGACCCCCGCCCCCACAGAATTCGCGGCTGTTTCGCTTAACCAAGCTTGCAACTGCTGGCAAAGGTACGAGGCGTCACTCCTGCGCTCACCAGGACCGAGGAAACTGCGTGCGCCTCGCCTTTGTCATCTGACCACACCTTGGACTGATTGGACTGGATTCGACTCAAGGCAACTTGGTTAGTGATTTCAATGCCACTCCCCAGCCGTAAGCAATCGAGCCTCAACAAACATATTGTTTCAACAAACATATTGTTTCAACATCAAAGGGGCCTATTTCACGCCGCGTGAAGAATCAAGAGCGCCAGTGGCACCTATTTCTGGCAGCGACCGTCCCCTTCGAACCTGCATTGTTCCGGGATTCGATTGTGGCTGATGTGAATACCCCGTTTGTTGAAGTTTCCCACTTCTGTGATACCACTCGATAGGAGAGTCAGCCCGGGTCGGCGGGTGAGTCAACGCTTAGTTCAGCTTGGTGGAGCTTGGGGTGGCTTGGGGCATTCTGGGAGTCAGGTGTTGGGGCTACGCGGGTTGGATCGGGTTTTCCGTAGCTTTAAGCTCGGTTTGGGATGCTTGCCTTCTTGCATTCTTGCTCCCTTGCTTGCCCTTCTGCCTTGTCCTTCCTGTTGGACCTGCGCAACACATCCCGGGATGGTCAAAAGTGGAATGTGACAACTCCCAAACGCCAGTGCACCACTCCAAGCCGAGGTGCATGTTGAAAATATTTGGCAAATAAGTGAAACCAAATCAACACCATCAATCCTTATGTGAATCCCCATTAAAAACACGTAAGGTTATATAACCAAGGAAATAACTGGGGTACTAGGGTTCGCCACCTCGTAACCTCCGTTATAATGTACGTGGTTTGAACAACTTTCATGTAAATCTCAGGGTCCCCGGACTCCGGAACCCAATGCAGACCCTGTGTCTAAGCCCGAAGCGATCGACCCATCTAGGTCCTCCAGCAGAGAGGATAGAATAGGGGTACCCTTTTTTCTGTAGTCTATTTTAGTAGGGGAACCCTCCCCAAAAAAAAAGGGTAAAAGGGCACTACCGGGGAGCAAGGAGTAGAACAAAATCCGAGGCGCCATTCGAAACTCATCATTGGAGTGGTCGCCATAGATCTGCACCTCGATAAGATCCGCGTTTTCTCGGACCAGGCGTGTCAGGTCTCGGAGGTACTGCACGCAGAAGTTGTTGTCACCCACCTCCCGGACTGGCCCCGACCTAAACCTAGGGTACCGATTCCCCTTAGAAGAATGGCGCAAAACAGCAACTTGGATGATGAAATTGCGTTCGAACGGCATACATTGGTGGTTTTTGAACCCCCCTTTGTTTTCATGGTGGATTGAATCCCAGGCCTAAGTGTCGATCAGAACCCTGCATATTTCTCAAACAGAATCGGAGTGTGAAGGGCCACTGTTTTGGGGTCAAACCTTGGACCCTTGAGGAACTGGTCGCCATTCGCACAACTTCCTCCTATAGTTACTAGTTTGGATAGTGAAGTGGTTGACTAAACTAGAACGGGGTTGTGCTTCAAAACCAAACTAAGTCATGATAGAGATGTGCAATCATCAGCATAGCGTGGGGAAACAACCAAAACAACCAAAACACCGTACCACCAATCAAACCACCAATTCAGGTCGAATTTCCATTGCAAGCAGAATCCTTGGATCCGACTGAGGACATCCCATCAGATCCGACCAAATGGGGGTTGATCAAGAGGTCCTGAAAACATAGGATGACCATTGGTTGGAATTGGAAAACCACTAAAAAAAAACAATTTGACCAAATAGGAAAAGTGATCCCTTGCATGTCGGGGCCCTACATGGCTGCGGGTCAAACCCAATGGTACCATTTTGGGGTAGGTGCATGTAGGTGCACCCATTTTAGAACCTATTTTAGTGGGGACTGGGATGTTCATTGGGGGATAACCGGGCTTTTGACCCATGGCCATATGGAAGATACAAAAAAACAGTATTTCCAGCAGTGAAAAATTCCATTTGAAACCAAAAAAGGAAAATAACACAATATTTTCTTAAGCAATTGGAAGAAAGATTGCTCAACCCCCAGCTCCGTGCGCATCCGTCCGCGGATTCCGCGCCTTGTTCCCCGGCGGCACGTGCCCGGCGATCACCACCCGCTGCTTGGCCTCCCGCGCCGCGCGGAGCTCCGCCTCCAGCCAGGCCAGCTGGCCGTAGGGGTCCCTCGGCCGCTTCTCGCAGGGCCAAAGCTCCTGTCACCGGGGCCTCTCTTTGAGGGTAACCTTGTTTCTTGCTTTTGTGGCTGAGGGGAAACAGTAGAAACATAGTGTTCGCTTCTTTTGCGGGGGGGGGGGGAGGGGGGGAGGTGGTTGATTCCTTGCCATTCCTTGTCCATTCTTCCCATCCTTCTGTTCAAAAACCGATCGCCCCTACTCACTTTGAAAAGAATGATGTTTTCCTTTCAGGACTCCCCTTACTGATCTTTTTCGCCAAGGCCTGCCTGTCAGAGGGAATGAGCCCTGTGGATTCCAACCATTCTGTCCAGCCGTCCTTCGGTTCAAAAACCGATCGCCAATTTGTTCGGGTGTCCGGAGGTTTTTTAGAAAGAAGGGTCCCTGGAAGGAATCGGCAAGAACTCCTGGAGTCACTAAATGTCCAGCAAAACTTCATGCATTTCTTGGTGTCCATCAAAACTCTGCAAAAAACGACGTTGTTCAAACTATTAGAGGGTCATGATCTTAGGTTAAGAATATGTGTTCTCCGAACCCTTCAAAGATAATGGGGTCGATCTTTCTTGGGGACAATGCAGGAATCTCAAGCTCCTGTTTGGATTCATTGGACAAAAAGGGGCGGCATTTGTTGTTGGTACCCTGAGGGTCTCGATTTTTTGTGAGCCAGGATTTGATTCGGGTTCTCCATTGGAGGGCCCAATTCGAAGGATCTCCATTGGAAGGATCATGATCCTTATAGGGCAAATTGGAGTCAAACCCTATCGCAGACCCTGGCAAGCCCCAAGTTTCCGCCGCAACCTGCAAATACAGTCACCTAAGGCCTATCGTGCCGGTCGACACGAAAGGCTGTAGGGGGGGGACTTGGAGGCAAAGCAGAACCAGCACAATTCCAACAAATTGTTGCAAAGAGGAAGTGAAGGAGGCCGCGAAGAGAATCCAAAAGTGTTGGCGACAACTTTGAACTCCGTGGTTGAACTCAGAACTCAGATGGTCGGCATTACCCCGACCGATCCCTCAAGGGCCCTGAAAAAAAGAAGGCCCAAAAGCAAGAGGGCAAATGCGCTTCCCTTGCCCACCTCAGCGTTTGACACAAAGGCAGGGGGTGGCTTCTCTATTGAAAGGCCTTCAGCTCTCTCCAGGTTTCAGCTTCCATTTGGTTAAGACCCCGGAAAAAAAAAGAGCATATTTCCAGTAGTGATATTTTTTTCTTACACCCAACAACGGAATATAACAACACTCTTAAGCAAATGGAAGTCAGGGTTTCACGGAACACCTTGGGTTTCCTCACATTTTGCCGCGCCTTGTGGCTCACCACGTCGGTGTTCCAGGACCAGCCGCTGATGTCGGCCACTGGAATGGGGGCGTTGGGCCCACTCCACGTGGCCTCGTCCACCGCCGGGATGTCCACCACCTGGCGCCAAGAGCGCCTGTTTCACCCAGCGACTTTTGCCTCCAGCATGGCCATAAAGGTTTACATGGGCCCTATTAGGCCTTACAAGCCCAGCGAAGTTGGGTCCTCAACAAGGCCTGCGAAGCTCAAAACGTGTCCAAATGGAGGTTCAATGGAGGGTCCTGTGTCATTGGGGTGCTTTTGGTTCCCAGGACTCCCCACTTCGGGGTTCTCCAATGGACCAGTCGGGACACTTAGGGTATATCCATCTTCCTCTGGATGTGTTGGTTTTTGAAAACATTGAACGGACCAAGTGCAAGCCAAACGCTCCGGATCTGATTAAACCCCCGGATTCAGGTCTTTGATTCTGAGTTGGAGACCCTTAGGGTCTGCGAAATAGGGAGTTCTTTCACGGGCTCTCATGGCTTGGCCCTGAAAACTGGATGCTTTCAAGGTTCTCTTGAGGGGCCAGGGGTTCTGTACTGGAGAGGTCCGGGGATTCTTAGCGCAAATGATTACAAAGGATATCCCTCAACAAAAAGAACGGGGTCTCAAAAGGGTCAATGTTCGGCCTGAACTCCATTGACAGGACCAGGACAAGTTGTTGCGTTTCCAAGCCTTGGACGCCGAAAGCGATTTCCTCACCCAAGCTTTGTAACCGAAGAGAATTCACCTATTCCCTCAAAACAAACTGGAGTCATTCCCGCCCATTCCAACCACCCCCGTATGAGTGTATTCCCTTAGGCCTGCTTATTCCAACCCAAGAAAGGTTGCCTCAAAACAAGACATGCCAAGAAGCGAGGCGTCCTACAATTGGTTCAGATCCAGACCCTCAAAGTCCCCGGGTTTCCAGCAAAAGTCGCCCAAATGAGAACACGCGAAGGGCACGAGCCTGACAAAACACCCTGAGGTTCGGGAGACCCACATAGCGACCAATTCCGACAAGGGCCCTACAGCCCAGTTTGAGGACCCCAACCATCGAGCCTCTTAGCTCAGTTGCCCAAAGGACCTGGAAATACAAGGCGAGCTAGCCTTTTGGGACCTTCAGTAAAAGTGGACCGAAAAGCGGAAAAAAAAGAGGTCAAAAAGACTTAACACTCACCTCCATTGATGGTTCAACCAAAGCCCAAAACTGATTGTTTTCCACCAAAACGGTCTTTCCAAAAAGTTTACAGTCCAGGAACTCAGGAAGTGCGACAACTGGGCCAAAAGACGTCGCCGAAATCTCGCGGGAGTATATGGAGCCTATTGGGAGTTTCTCAAAATTGTAGACCCCTTTTGGTTGGTCTTTAAAGGGACACCAACAGCACACCAACCATTTCAGACCTATTTTCAGAGCCACCAACTTGTTCTTTCTTTTTTTTCGTCGGCCTCCTTGGTCTGCGTCGACTCCCAGTCCAGCACCTTCTGGCTCCACACCACGGTGTTCAGCGCGATCAGCTTCAGGCCTATGGGCTGCCATGTGGCACTGATCCGATCTGCCTCACATGAAGGGATGATAAAAATCCCGTTGGTGTTTCTCAAAATAAGTCCCCTGACATGGTTGGTGTGCTGTTGGTGTCCCTTTAAATAACAACTAAAAGGGGTCTACCGTTTTGAGAAACTCCAAATAGGCTCCATACTGTTTGCAACTACGTGTTGCTCCATACTGGTATAGTTTCGCCCTTCCGCATTAAGTAAGTAGGTTATAAGTCAAGGTTCACTCAAAACAGGGCTACACAATTGCTGCGGTTACAAGCTCATAAAGGTGGTTTACAGTTCCCATGCCTCGAAAACCCATGGTGCAAGGCTGACAAACAAGGGGGCACGTTTCGTCATGATCATAAGGGTAAGCTAGTATTAACTCGACTTTGCCCCTTATATTACCTGTTTCGTTGGCGGTTTCAAAGGGAAACCAACTGGAGAACCACCATGTTGGGTTCTTCCATTTGCTTGAGCCCACTGGAAAACAAACATATTGCCAGTAATTAGTGAAATCGATTCCCTTCTCCAAGGGAAAATCAAAGACCTACATTCCTTTCAGCAGAAAAATGGGACGAAACTTCGTCCACCCCCCCCAATTCCCCCAAACCGTTGGACCGAAGCTTCGAACAATTGCGCGGCGCCTTTCACCGGCTCCGCGGAGTAGAACCCCCCGCGCTTGAAGGTCTCGAGCTGCGGGCCGCCCAGCAAGCCGTTGGCCTCGTAGATGGAGGCCACCAACTCCTTGCGTCCACCGAACGAACGAATCCGGGTCTCTGAGCACTCAGTGCGCAACCTTTAGGGAGTTTGGGGGAGTCCACCCCTGGACTTTTGGGGTTCTAAGTGCTTTCCCTTGCGATCGGGGCAAGAGATGCAGGGAAATGGAGTGACCCCAAGAGGAACCATCCCTTATGGCTTCCTGGGGACTCCTGGGTTCATTCCCACATTCCCTAGCAAGTTCCCAAAAGCGGAATAACCACCCTGACAAAAACGCACAGACCTAAGTCCCGATTGTTTTTTTGGGTAACTGGGACTGCTTCCAAGGGCCCTTTAGGAGCTTCTCCAGGCCACGAAGTGGGCTCTGCATTTGAGGGGTGTCATGACCAACTTAGAACCTTCCTCGATATCGGGCGTGGGGTAAAAAGCGAACAAGTTATCTTTTAAATTTGCTTTTAGGTTACCCCAAGAAAGGCCCTAAAGGGCACCCCAGGAAAGTCACTTTGCCCAGACGCTCTGCCTGGCTTCGAATGCGAGAAACCGACCTCCAGGACACCCAAAAAGCAGTCGTCAGCCTTTCGGTGGCCCAAGAGGGCGTGGCCTCTAAACGCGTAGCAGGGGCTTCTTGGCCCACAGGCAAGGGCTACACCGAAAAAACGCATAGAACAACAGATGTCTTGTATTTAGTCCTAAAACCCCCTTTTTGAATGGAGTTGAGATATGGCCCTACTCACCCTCTATATAAATCCCGTTTGCCCCCCTCCAAGAAAAACTTCAAAAACAAATGGCCACAGGTAAACCGGTGGCTTCGAGGTAGTGGACCTTCTGCCAATTGAGGCTTATTCCCCATCATGCATTCTTGGGGCTGACTTTCGTGGTTACATCTTGGAACAAAATTCAACCCCGAAAAGAATGGCAACGCCCCAATTGCGATGATGAAACTCCTGAACGGCAAGAAATGGTGGTCGACCCCTGATGCTTTAATCGTGCAAGCCAGCCAAATTTGTGTGGGTTTCCCTTCAAGACCGCCCGATCTTGGGGGTATTTTGGATGTTCAACCGACTTACTAGGCTACGGCCATGGATTGTACGTGGGGTAGCAAGCCTTCCAGCTGACTTGGTGGTTTATCTGGTGTCTCAAGACAGGTGGCTTTGTGCGGGCTTCCCGTCAAGCCCTCGGTCCTGCCAAGCGCTGTTCGGCTCCAAGGACACATTGTAGTTGGGAAAGAAGTCCTCGGATGGATCCGAAGCCCTGGGAGCATAGGTGGCCTCTTGGAACAATAGATTGCGCTGGTAAATGGAATTAAAAAAAAAAAAACATCTAAACCAGGGCCCTCTATTTCTTGAGCAAACCAAAAAGGACACCTATGCCTGGGAGTCTCTGGCCGGCAAAGCAATGGGGTTAACACGTGAGAAAATCCCCGCACCAGGCACCAGCACAAGGGATGGTCAAAAGGAACCAACCTGGCGCAGGGCTTTGTCCCTCCAGTGTGGAACCATTGTTTGCCCTTTTAAGTTTCGTCGTCGCAGCATTTTTCCACACATCGGAGATCAGATCCATGCCAGAACGGCAAGCGCCGTCTTCTGGCCTTGCTGGTTCGATGGGCAGAGAATTGGAAATGGAATGACCCCAATAAGCCATCTCCTATGGCTTCCTTTCGGGGAATCCTCTTCTGGTTCATTCCCAACACCCGTCATTCCCTACTGAGCACCACCCAACAGCTGAAAGCTGTGGATTTGGTAGCTTCACGGGAGGGTTCAAAAGGAGGGTTCCAGGCAGATCTGAACCTACAAAAATACCACCCGAACTTATTTCAGAATCCGGCCCGTATTTGATCAACCTTAGTTGAGCCCAGCGATGGGACCTGCCCTTACTTTCCACCTGGACTGCCTGCCATTCTCGAAATTGGCTGGGGAGAGGATCCTGCCTTGCTGGCAGGAGGCGGCAATCTCAAATTTTGGTTGGTTGCGCCGTACCGAAGCCAAGCCTGCTTGAGGTGTCCTTGCCCAGAATATGGCTTCGTCTCCTCGCTAAACTTACCCTCTTACAACAGACCTTCACGCAACCAGGCTTCAAACTTGCACAGCTGTATCTTCACAAGCTCTGGGCAACAACTTCGGGACACCGGCAAAGCACCGGTGCAACACCACCAGGACACCACTGGTGTGACACCATCAAAAACACAACCGGCCATCAAAGCACAAGAAACACCACTGGAACCGCCAAACAAAAAACACAACTCGGACACCACCGGGACACCACCAAAACTACCAAAACTGGAGGGAATTGGCTGAAACAGAAGCTCAAGCTATCATTACTGTGCACCCACTCAGGGAATATGTTATACTTCCCTAACAGCGTTCAGCTATGGGACCTGAAACTTTGTTGCATGGAAAGTGTGTGTGTGTGTGTGTGTGTGTGTAAATGTCTCGGCGGTGTCCCAGTTGCGCTTGTGGTGGTGTTGTGGGGGTGTCTCGGCGGCGTCACGTTTGTGCTTGTGGTTATGCTTGTGGTGTTTTGGTGGTGTCCCGGTTGTGTGTCTGAGGAACTGCAGGTTTCTCCTTAAGCTAATGACTGAGGCTCGTTGTTGCCCATCAACGGGTAGATCTTGCCCAGAACCGGCTTCAGATTCTTGGCCATGTGCGACACCACGAACTCGATGGTCTTGCCCTGACTCTAGGGGGTGGTTCCCGTTTAGCAAATCTATGTGTCCCTTTTTTGGGCTATGTTGCATTAAATACTTAGTCCATATTTCTAAGGGTTGATTCCCATTCTCTACACCGATCGTTCTCAAAAGAGACACCACACATTTTCCAGGGGTTTGGCTTATTTTTGAAGGCACGGATCCCTGTGGATGGGGACTGTATGGCGAGATGAAGGGCAAGGGCGGGTGTGTCGAAGGTCATTTGAAAACAGGAAAATGGGAATGCAATTTCAAGGGTGAGCCCCTCTCCCCTATGCGCAGCGGGAAATGAGCCAGCACCCTCCAATGGGGTTTGGGATACCAAACGACTAAAGAAAGTCATGACCATGGGACAGTACTGCTATAGGAATTGTTCAGGCCTTGTATTCCCCTTTTCGAGCTGGTGCTGCAGGACATGCCTGACCTGCCCTTTAAAAGTGCATGTTGGGGGGCGGAAACTACAAGGAAACTCACCATGCATATCACGAATTAGAGTTAGGCCCAGTTGTAGAATGTATATTTCCGTGTTTGCTTCACTTTGAGTCCCTGGTAAAATGTATGCCCCAGATATGGTGATGACTGTCAGGGCCACGACAACAAAATGCCTAGCTCCTATATTCCCTGAGCCCAGTTCCCGTCCTGGTGCCGCTGGCAGGACAGTTGATGGCTGGGGATGTCCCCCGTGAAGATCCCGAAGAGTGCGCCCTTCTTCTTCACTTCAGTGGCCACGGTCCTCGCTGAAAAATTTCCGGCTGGGTTGCTCCAAGGTTGTGGGAAGGCTGCAGATGGACAAGGCGGCAACCATCCATGAATCCCGAAAAGGTGATGAAATAAAGCGCTGGCCCATCCCTGAACATCAGCAAGGACCCTCCATTGGGGGGGTTCGGGGACCTCCTGTGGTGTTGGTTTTGGTGGCTTCGAATAGATGCCTTTGCGAGGACCCAAGATGCTTTAGGTGTACAACATGAAGTGTTGGCCAATCCATGTTACGAAATCCCTATTGAAACACGATAAAGCAGGCCGCGTCCTTTCGTAACCCAAGGCAAGGATTAAGAATCAGGTTGTGGGTTGCTTCAACCCGGCCGAAGCAAAAGGTGCAACAACGAGTTTATTGGGTCTTATTGAGCCATCCGGCACCAAAGTCTTTCAAACCCAAATCGATGGCTTCGGTCGGCGATGGCTTTTCGGGGGCCGGATGTATCCGAGGTCCTTACCCCCGAGGAAAAAGGAAAGGAGAGAGGATCGGAAGAAGCCGGCCCTATCCATGGTTAAAAAATAAAAAAATAAAAAAATAAAACAAATCCACCATGCTTTCCGTCGGCATGAATACCGACTCGCTAACGGCAAACCGTTTTAATGAAAAGAAGGGTTGTTGTGCGCTCTCCATTGGAGGGCTTTTTGAAGAGGGTCTGCATTGGGTCCCGTGAGCGTCTGGCTCTGTCGCGGAAAGAATGAACAGTACACCACTAGCAAGCAGGCTACAAGCATGGTTTTGAAGCGAAGAACCCCAGCTACGCCAGAGATATCCATATGTTCTCCCCCCCACCTCCCCCCAAAAAGGAGAGGAATCTGCTTTGGGTCATTCCCATGACTTTGTCACTTTGAAAGTGATTCGAATTTGGCTTTTCACAACATGCTTCCGCAAGCATGCTACGCAAAACATCGGCCATTCGATGGGACGCCAGGTGTCTCGATGTGCTTGAAGAGGGACCGCATGAGCGCGTGGGGCGCATCACAGTTCAGTCGGCCGAAGGGATAGATGGAGGCTTCCGGCTCGATGCGGAAGGGGATGCACTGAGATTTGTTGAAGGCTTCCTGGCAGCGGTGCTTTCGTTTTTGTGTTTTTGAGGCAAAGGGAACCCTTTTTAGCTTGGTGTTCTATTTGTTTCTCACTGAGGCGCAGGGAACCCGTTTTACCTCAAAGCTTTCCAGGAAGCCAAAGGAACACTGAAGCCACTGGAGGTTCAAATATTTGCTTTGTCACCCATACCCATTTGGAGAGCTAAGGTACGTCAGGTAAGTGGGCGGTAACCCTAAACATGCAGCCAAGTTGGATGCCTGAAGTGCGCGGATCCCATTCCGAACCCTTTTGACTGCTTTTGCAGACCCCACTTTCGACTTTGTGGTCCTCCAATGGGGATCGAACCCCAGTCGCAATCGCGACCAATTCCGATTCCAGGGGCCCTTGAAAGCAGTCCCAGTTTGAAGGCCCACAACCATCGAGACCCTTTGGTTGCAATCGGACGTACCCCTTCTCAAGATAGTTTCAGGGTCCCAGGCACCCCCGTCTCAACATCCCAAGTGTCCAAAAAGCAATCCCTGCGGCTTGGGGTGGCTTCCCATAGTGCCACATGTTCGATGGCTTGGTCTGATGGCTCCATGGTCAGCCCCCGTAAGTATGTCAAATCAAAGCTTCGGGGCCCAAGAGAAAACGGCAAACGGACCTGATCTTGCAGTTGCCCAAAGTGGGGCAGGGGCACGTCAGGAAAGTGGCAAGTGCTAGGAAGTTCAACACTGGCACCATGGCCATCAATATCCACGGTTGTGAGCGCCGAAAGGGGAAATGCAACCATGGCAGTGGTGCAATGGTGAGTTGTAGCAATGGTACCACTTACCCCACGTTGCAAGCGGAGCGCGAAACAGCTCCGGAAGTCTACCCTACCATGCCTCCAAAGGAGCACGCGAATCGCGACTAAACAAGCTGTTCGTATTTGAATTTGAAGGGCCCGTTGAGTTGCAAACATGCAAGGCTTCCAACTCGGCCTGGCTGCTCTGCCTCTTTGGAAAATCCATTTTCCACCTCCAGATGCCAAGCTTCAATAGGCCACTGCCCAGAGGATCCAGTCACCCCTATAGGTCACTGAGGAGAATATTCATGTAAAGTCTGGATCAACAACTCTGGTTGCCTGCTATAGTCGAATAGTGGTGCCGTAGCTGGATCTTTTGGGGGGGATTGGGTCTCACTCTTCCCGAGCACGTTCTTAGCCCGGGTGGAAAACCCGCATCGAAAGGCCGTTTACACGGGCGTGTCTTTTCGACTAAAAAACCCGCCCAAAATGGCGGTGTTGCCCTCTAGCTTTCAACAAAAAACGGCTACCATCTCAATTTTGGCGCCTTCCGCCAAGCTGGGCCGAATCCTTCTCCCATGTCTTTGAAGTCACCACTTTCCCAAAATCAGCCCCGAGATTCTGAAAATGGTTTTTGGGCCCTACTTGGTTCTTTTCCATGGCCCTTTCGGGTTATCCATATCTGGGGTCTGCATTTGGGTCAAAAGGCTCCGGGTGACCCGTAAGGGGAGCCAGGTTTCTGTTTGATTCGAGGCACGTCCACGCGACACACGTCGCCCTTGTTGTGCCCATTGTGCGGGTTGTAGAAGGGTTCCATGTGGATATCAGTGAGCTGCACAAAGCGATATGCCACCTGGGGTAAGCTTTGGTGTTGCCAGGTAACCCGGCTATCATCATAGGACGCTCCTAAAACCTGTCGCCCGAAGGGTCCGATCATTGGATGTTGGGCCCTTTCAGTGTCAGCCGGCTCCGGGGTCTCCTCACTTGAAAAATCAACAGGGTGCTGGTAATACAGGTTCCTTAGCTCCCCCCGTTTGATACAAGTAAAGCCCGGCTCCTTGTCTCCCCCAATATCCATGGCCAATGTTCATTCAGACACATTCCGAAATCCCTGGCGACATGGATAATTGCGATCAGGTTTTGTGGGAAAACAAAACCAACTTTGTACCCTGCAGAATTGGTCGAATGGTTAAGAAACAAAGACATGTATATATAATAGGTCGAGTTTCCCATGTTCCCCCAAAAAGCTGAATTCGAGTAGAATGTAGCTTTGCATAAATCCAGAGATCCAAGACTTTGATCCCCAAAACTCAAGGGTTTTGCGTCTCAAAGATATGGGCGAAACGTGGCTCGGGGGATCGACCGTTCTTTTGGTGGAAGTGCCCGAAGCAAGGACCCTCTGACCCAGTGGATCCCAGCAACCCCTATAGCTCAGTATCTACGGAGTTCCCTTAATCCAAGGAGATGAGATTGTATTTTTCTCTTCAACCCTCGCTCTTTCCCACATCCAGCCCTTTTCCCCGGATTTCTGCTGGCTCTCGGGAAACAGATGGAAAGTTCGGGGAAGTTCCTGCTTTGGACCTCTTGGGTCGGTCGCCTATGGCAAATGGATCCACGGAAGGAGCTTGGAACCTTGCCTTGAGCCGTTTGATGCCGGTTGATGCCGTTTGATGTGGCTGAAACAGGCGAACTGTGGTACAAATGGAAGGCTCGGCCCTTAAATTGGGACTGTTTTGAAGGATTCTTGCATTAGGTCCGGGGTCACGAGCGCAGAGAAACCTGGGACGACAAAGGCTCGCGCTTTTGCGATTCATTAAAACCCCGCCTTCATTTGTCAAGGACCCGAGAAAAGTTCAACGTTTTAAAGCTTCAGTAGATTTGGACCAACTCTGGAAAGCAAACAGGTCGAGTCGGCCAAAAGGAAACGCAAGGAACCGACCAAGGGTTCCATTTTCTGAAGCCAAAGTGAGCCACATCACAGGCTCAATTCCTGAGTGAATTGGCAATGAAAATCACACTTGTTCTTGCCACTAAAATTGTATTTCCCTAAGCATCTTGGGCCCTCAACATGGGCCAGTTTTAGTTGCAAAGCCTTCCAAAGGAGATCCGGACCCCTGCAATGGAAGGTGCAATTGCGGAGGGTCCGCCCCCCACATAAAAAAACAATGGGAAAGTGCCCAACAAGTGGCCCTAGCCAGCTTTCATTTGCCGCCGCAGGCACTTTTTTATGTGCCTCGGCCAACAGGCCGAAGGCCAACAGGACAAGCCTCGATGTTCCCATGGCTCAGAAGCACAAGCGACTTTTTGAGAAAGAGGTCGTGTTTTCCGAAAAGCGCCTCGGCTCGGCTCACCTTTGTTGCATGACTCTCTCTCTCTATCCCTCTCTATCTGCAGCTGGTCATGTTTTCTGCACACATGTTGGTTCATGCGTCGGAATGCATGATATAAAACTCGCGGCAAGGCAACTGTTGGCTGGCGGCATGCTGGACACGTGGTGGCTTGAAAGCAGGAAGCCAGCTTTCAACCAAAGGAAAGCAAACACACCCCTCACTTGGGTGATTAGCAAGATAGAGGCTATCCCAATTTAATCAAGAAGATCGAGCGAGGGGTTCAAGTCAAAGAAACGGTGCCAATTGTGTGGACCAAAACCTTCCAACGGAAGTCTGGTCGTATGATGCTTCGGGTACCCAAATAGCAGATTGACGTTGGACACATCCCGCAGTTGGCTTGAAGGTTCCAACAGGTCTTCCTGTGGCAAAAAACCGAGATCTTCTGAAGCAACATCCGAAGTACACTCGCGGCTAGCTACAGACCGACTCCTACGGGAGACTAGCCAACTAAATCCCCGGATTGGTGGATGTTTGGCGAACTTCCTGTAGACGTTTCATTTATTTAGTTTCCATGGTGCATTCTAAATGGTCCCAGAAATATCCTTGAGAACAGGTCTCGCAAAGAGACAACTTCTTTATGGGCCAACCCAAATTCCTGGAATTTGTTTTCCCCAAAGCTTGGCTGTCCGAAGGGTCTAACCCTGAAACACTGTAGGGGCTCTCAAATCATCCTAACATTTCCCCCAACACAGCTTCCGTTTCTGGTGGACAAGGTCAAGGAGCCCGGTTGAATCGGAACCCCTTCATAAACTCATCCTACTAGGGCATCCATCCTACTAGGGCGTCACCCACAAAAGCGATCCGGATTCCCACTCAAAGGGGACACTCCGAATCAAAATCAAGCAGAGATTTACAAATCCTCAAACCCACTATTACCACCAAAATTGCTCAGAAAAAGTAACTCAATTCCAGAAACTCGGCTGAGAATCATAGACTCAGAAAAAAGAGAGAGGAACAAACACCAACCTCAGGAAAAACAAAGAAAAACCGGAAAAACAAAACAGAATCCAGCACGAAAACAGGAAAAACCAACACAAACACCTCCGCTCCTGGCCGGCGCGTGTGAGATCCCAAGTCCGGGTGCGGCCCATGCGCTTCCTCACCGTAAGAACCTCCGCCCGAGCACAAGGGGGCACTCGCCGGATCACTGTTTTTGTTGCCCAAGGTTAGGTTTTTTTCGCAGATTTTGTGCCCAAGGATTTTTGTGCCCCCGAAAAAAAAATAATGGGTGAGAAAAGAGCAGTGAATGCAAGGGTCTCGGATGGTGTTGGGCCTCCAAAGCTGGTTGTGTTCCAGGGATGTTGAGGAATTGATCGGGGTTCTCTTGGAGGGGTCATTGATGGCCCTGGAAGATAAGTTACCGACAAAAACTGGGCAAAGCAAACATTCTTAAGAACATGGAAACTTGATGTCCCGTTTCTTGGGCACCCAAGTACCCGTGGGCTTTTGGGGCGTTTTCATAGGAAGGTGTTGGACTTCATTGGGCAGCTCGCGGGATCCAACATGCGGATGTATCCTCAAACAAAAAGGAAATCAGAGGACTCTGTATTCCTTTTCAGCCGCTTGAAACACCTTTGGGATGAGTTTCCTGTTTGGGTGTTCCGGGAAAATATTGGGAGCCCTGCAAATACCCAGACGCTCCCGACATATTAGGGCACGCCATGCATGCTGTGTATATAAACATATGCTCACCACCCCCCGCATGAACTGCATGTGCAGCATATGTTGTAGAGCCTATGTGGGAGAAGCCAACACCAACATATTATTGAACTCATGCTATGACTCTAGTTTGAAGCAAACGTCAGTCTAAGAACTTCTGCTCAAGTATTGCAAGTGTTAATACACTGGGAATGCAAACATGAACCAACACAAAACCAATTCCAAACCAGAAGAAAACAAATCTACCACTGCGGGGCTTCCCGATCTCCGGAAGGAGCCTTTGGTTGTTTTGGTACAGGTAGCGTGGGCAGCTGAAGAGAGGGCTAACAAGGGCTCTTGGTGAATGACGGCCGTGCAAGAATCAGGGTTCCTCATCCAAAAGGATCCTCCAAATCAGCTGGAGATATTTTTTTTCTGATGCAAGCTTTAAGAGTCGCCAAGTTGCGGCGAGCTGACCCTTGTCTCTTTCGCAGCCAGGAAGTCTATGGTGCAATGCCTTTGACACATACCTCCAGTGGCCATATATGCAAACCAGGCAATTGTTGGTAGTTGATCTGCAGGGGATGGCCCCCCTCAAAAAAACGCAAGCAACCCACCGGTAGAAGTGCTCTCAAACCGGGGAATATGCTTCAGCGGGAGAACCAAAGTAAGATCACATGAGCGACCAACACCCCCTACCCTGTCCATTCACATGACCTGAATGGGTCATGAAGACGATTTTCAGTGTTTTCAGGGACCCTCGGGTCCGTTGCATGTTCATGGACAGGAGGGTACTATAACCCTTGTTAAAGCCGGTAGCAGCACCACCCACAAACATATCCAAGGGGACTTTTTGCACGTGGCTCACTTCAAATTTGCTCAGTGGCCACAGCAGATTCTACGTCTCCCTGGCCCTTTTGCCGACAACTTTACCTTGGAATCCACGGTTGGCTTGGAGACATGCAAGAAAAACATGGAGGACGCGCATTGTATTCCGAACTGGGCTGCCCTCAGATCCCCTTTCTAAAAGTGTAACTTTTAGTGGGTTAAGCGAGCATGGCCGGGGACCACCAAGTAATCCAAGCCCAAAATCCCCGCACAAAAAAACACACGCAACTATGACCATGGGTCAAAAGTCCGGCTTCCCCCCAGTGAACATCCCAATCCCCCACAAAAATAGGTTCTAAAATGGGTGGTGAATTCACCTACCAAGCAAAATGGGATCTCATTGGTTTTGACCAGCCATATCGATGCTCTGACCTGGCCTCCTCGCGGGTGAGGTGCATCAAGCTGTACAGGCCGAACTCCTGTCGGACATGGACCCCAACCTCCGAAGCTTCTGTGAACTTGCAGTCGCTGACCCTATCGAAACCTGGGCAGTAGGTGACCTTTTGGAGCCTTGAGTGTGGCCAAAGTTGAACAAAAAAAGAAACTAAAAGATCAAAAGCTCGGCTCTGGGCAAGTGAGCTCGCCGCAAAGGCGACTTTGACAAGCTGAAACCTGAAACTTGCTTCAAACCTGGAAGCAAAAGAAACACCACCTCAAATCTGGGACTCACTTGCACAATGCGACAATTTGAGCTCCACGTCTCCCTCTCTTTTGTTTGTTTTTCCCCGCTTCCCCTGGGCTGCGATTCTCGAATCGATCTCGCGTGTCGCGAATCGATCCCTGTAGGTCATATTTACCCACATTTGGATCATTCTGTGGATGGACGAAATCCACTTCGCACCACCTAAGACACCCTGAAATGATGATGCCCCTATAACTACCAAAAAACCCTTGCTTCTCATGGTTTCAATCTGGTGCAGGATTTCGTCCATCCACAGTGTGGTCATTGTGGTTGCACCCGTAGGAAAGCCGACCCGGGTCGTTCGCGACCTTGGAGACCCCGAAGAATTCCTTGGGCCCCTCAACAACAGATCCATGGAGGCAGCAACAAGTTGAATCGGGCAGACGCATCGCCAAATCATTTGCTTCCCCCCAAAACCGCGGGAAAGTCGGGTTCGTCCCTTGGTTGTGGGGAAACTCACGGCTATATATAATATCATTCTCCCAATGGATAGACAAATCAGGATATTTTGAGCGAACCACACGAGGTGCCGTTGGTTCAGGGTTCAACTGATTCCCATTAAAAGAATGGCCCAAGGGGCCCCAATTTAAATGATACAACTGGTTAGGTTCTATTACCCTCTCACCAACGTGGCAGTGCAAAGGTTCTGGAAAATGACCTTCCGCCGGGAAGGGGTTCCTTCCATATTTCTTGGTGGCAACCATAAGCCACAATGTTTTCAGGGCAGGATCCCACCCAAGAGCATCTAAAACGGGCCTGTAAAAGGGCGAATCCTGTCTCAGGCAACCACAAGCCTTCCCATTGGCCCATTTCGCGGTCTTGACCTCCTTCAACGGGCTTGGTGTCAATGAGACTTGGACCGCGCGCGCACTCTGGCGCTCCATGGCGCAAAAACGCGGCTCGAACGACGTTCCTCGTTGGAGAGGAGCCCTTCCAAGTCGTTGCACCGCGCGTAGAGCATCACAAAAGCCTCCACCTTTTGGAGGCCGACATGGGGGCGGGTCCAAATATGTCTAAGACCGTGGTAAACAGGAAGTTTGGGCTTGTTGGCCATTCGGCTTGGGAAGCGTGCTGTGGTGAGTTACAATCAGTTAGCATAGCCAACCCATAGATTCAGCTTCCACACAGTCCGAGATCTTCAGGGAATAGGACTTAATCCGCTAGAACTACTCTAACTACTTCTTACTACATAGTTGAAACAACCTCCTTCGGGCTTGTGCAAACACCACTGATTCGCCAAAATTTAAGTAACCAACCCTGCTTGGCAGTGTTTCCAGTTCCAACTGATCTAAAGGGACTCCGTGAGTTGGTGGTTGTGGGCTGTTTCGGGTGATGGGGGTATACGTCAGAGTTGGGGGATCTCCACCCCAAATGGTGGCTCTCGTTCTGGTGCTTCTTTACACCAACCTGCGCAGAATACCCGCCATTTTAGAACAGGCTTGGTCGACATTCTGAGGTTCGGGTCTGTGTTTCATAGGGGTTGCAGTGCCCCTTTTGCACGATCAAAACGCCACCTATGGTCATGGACCCCATAGAAAATTTAAGACCTTGGACTTCTCTTACGGGAACCACGACGCTCATTTGGACTGGCCGACTTGTTCCAGAGTCGAGAGCTGTCTTAGTTGTTGTTGCTACAAACCCGTCGGTCTTTGTGTCCAGATCTAAGCATGTAATTAACTATTTTGCCTCTCTTATTACCTGTTCGAAATC